GGTATTAGAGAAAAAAGGCAGAGAAGGGGGAAAACTCCTGAGAAGCAGCCACCAGTTGGTTTGATGTAAGGGGATTCCCCTTCCAAACAACGGCTCTCTCTCCATCCCTCCTCTCCACATCCCTGTCCACAGATCCACACCCTCATCCGTCTCAAGGTAGGGGCCATACTGTGGCTGTAAAAAACTTTTTAAATGTTGTGTTTCTTATTTACATCATATTATTTAACTCTGAACTTATTTACTTTGACATTTCTGTGTAATGTTTTATGTAAAAAGGCAAAGATAGGGTAAAAACTTGGTAGTCGAAACCGTTTTCAGTTTTTTTTAATGGGAAAAAATTGATTCGGAACTCAACTGCATGGTATCTCAACACTCCTAGAACAGATTAGCGTCAAGGTCCAAGGTTCTACTGTATGGTGAGAGGATACAACCTTGACACACACCCTTCCTGATCTTAAACCATGAAGTATTCCCTTGTTCTGTTCACACCACTGCCTCTTAATCTGTGTACAAGTTCCACATGAGCACCACAAAGTGTTCTGGAATTCCCATTCTTCTCATGGTTATCCGGTTTGTCTGTTTGTCATACTGTGGGGGACTGTGTGTGGCTGGAAGGCTGGAAGCTATGTCATTGGTATTCCTAATGCCAGCAGAGTCAGCAGAGGTTCCACACTAAGAACAGACCCTGAAGAAGGACTAGACTCCCCGTTGGAAGGAAGGAGCCACTGAAAGCCTTTTAGTGACTAGAATGAGGGATACCATTGCTGATGCCAAATACAACTTGGCTGAAAGCAAGATAATACCAGAAATATGTTTTACTGATGTTTCACTAACCAAACAAAGGTATTTGGGTAGGTCAGAGCAAACTAGGAACGACATTTTGAAGAGCAGGAATTATAGGACACTAATAGTGCTGATGTGGAACCTGTGTGTCGACCACGAGACCAACGGGCTACTACTTCATGGCTTAAGAAATCAGGAAGGGTAGGAGTCGGGGCTGTGCCTTTTCACCATACGCATTCAATCTGTGCGCTAAGCAGGTAACCCAAGATGTTGGATCATATGAAGAAAAACCAGCATCCGGACGGAAGGAAAACTCACTAACGACCTGCAAATTGACACAACACTGCTTGCGAAAAGTGAAGAGGATTTGAGGCACTTACCAATGAAGATAGATCAAAACACAACATAAAATAAAAATACAGTGGAACTAATAAGCAATGTCACAATAAATGGAGAAAATCCTGAAGGTGGGAATGATTTTACTTTAGTTAGATCCACAATCGATGACGATGGAAGAAGTGCAGTCATGCAATCCAGCAACACATTACATTGGATGCATCTGCTGCAAAGGACCTCTGGTACAGTGTTAACAAAAAGCAGAGGTGTCACTGTGGGAACTACGGTGAGTCTGACCCAAGTCGTGGTATTTCCAATGGCCTCCGAGGCACGGAAACGCTGGACAATGAGCAAGGGAAGACTGAGGAACTGTTGCTCTGGAATTACGGTGCTGGTAAAGAACATCGAATACATACACCATGGACTGCCAGGACAACAAAGCCATCTGTCTTGTAAGAAGTACAGCCAAAAGGCTTCGTGGAGGCGAAGGTGATGAGACTACATCATACAGATTGTGGACCATTCTCTGGGAAAGGTCATCATGCTCGGTCAAGTCGAGGGTCAACAAAAAAGAGGAAGGGCCTCCACGAGATGGACTGACATAGTGCTGCAACACCAGGCTCAACCGTAGCAGCGGTGACCGAGGGCGGCGCAGCACCGTGTGCTGTGCTTGCTGTATATATGTCGCTCCGAGTCAGAATGCGCTCGATGGCACAGTAAGACCACTGATAAAAATCTGAGAAAGGATTGTAGTGGGAGATTAAAAGATGAGGGAAAGGCAGCGTGAGAGATAAAAATCACTTCTACAATTACAGAAAAATCAATAGAAATGCCTAATGTTGTGGCATTAAAGAATTTATTAGACAAAAGGACCATTTAGAAATACACTGGTAATTACCAGAAAAAGCTCAAGCTGTTAAGCAATGGCAGGCAAATGCTGTGGCGTGGATTCTGACTCAGGGCAGCCCTCCTCGACAGAGAAACGACTCCTTAGGGCTTCTGAGAGGCTTTCTGTTGCTGTACAGAGCCACACCCTCGGAAACCCACAGGGGTGGTTCTACCCTGTCCTGTTTGACCAGAATCGCTCGATGGTAGTGAGTTTGCTTTTGTCCTTTTTGGCGTGATCATCAAGGGAAGGAGAGAAAGGAGACGGCCACGTCTAAGTTCTCATAAAAATCTGATGGAAAATGCAAGTGTACATGCCAGCATGGAGGCAGCGCGACCTTGGCAAGGTGAGTCACAAACTGATGTGGAAAAATTAATTAGGAAGTTCAACAACGACTTCATTTTAAATGTGAAAAGACACACTTTAATAGACATGCAACAAGAGGGTCATTAAAATAGAGCAAAGGAAAAGAAAAATAGACCAAGGGAACAGAAAAAAAATGAAGTTTCCAGTTCGAGAAAGTATGCAAAGAAGAGATCATTGAAAACTCAATCACTTTAATTATCCCTTGGGGGAAAAAATTAAATCCCTACTTCACAGCATTTAAAACAACAACAACAATAATAATATTCTAGATGGCTCAATGATCCAAACAAACAAATAAAAAATTACAGAGCTAAGGAAAGAATGGCAACTACTTTTATAAAAGGATTTTTATAAAAGGACTGGGAAGAGATTTGTGTGCAGAATACAAAACATACACTGCCCAGGGAAGGATGGACAGGTGAAGAAAGCTGATGTGTAGCATGACACCTTAAGCGAAGTGAAGACATGACAGTGTGAGCCTAGGAGGAAATATCTGCATAGTATGTGACAGAGTTAAGATTCAAAACACATATGAAGAGCACTTAACAAACAGATTTCAAATGGCAAATAATTTAACAGAAATAGGCAAAGACATGAAAAAGTCATTTACAGAATCATTGGGAAAACCACTCAAAGAACAATTAACAATGTGTTATTAAATAATACACCACTGGAAGGTGCAAAGTATTTTAATTGAATTGTAGTGAATGTTTTGACTTACAGGGTCACTATGAGTCAGAATGGGCTTGGAGGCAGTGAGTTTTGAGTTGCTTAATGTTAACAAGCAAGTAGACAAATGCTTTCTGGTATGATGCTCGCCCCACTGTCCCCAAATTGATTCTGACTCACAGACCTGCACGGACCGCGCAGAACTGCACTTATGTTTCTAAGCCTATAACACTTTATGGGAACAGATGGCCTCATCTCTTTCCCTTGGGGCAGCTGCAAAGCTTATCCCGCAGTGGCCCCAGAGCTCCTTCATTCCAAGAGGAAGATGCCAAACCCACTTTGCTCACTGCCATGGAGTCCAAGTCAATTCTCACTGCCACTGACGTGTTCTGACTCACAGCTGACCCTGTAGGACACAGAACTGCCCTGTGGGCTTCTGAGACTATTGATGGCTGTAGGCAGCCTCATCTGTCTACCATGGAGTGGCTCGTGGTTTTGAACTGTGGTCTGTAGCCCAATGTATAGCCCATTATGCTACCAGGGCTTCAGTAGGATGCTAACAAGACTGTACATCAGAACAAGCACAGTTTCACAGGAGGCAATTGGACAGCAACAACATTTCAAATGTAAACACCATTGAGCTATGTGAACCTACTTCTCTAAATGTATGCCACAGAGCTATTCATGCAGGTGTGCACAAGCACTGAGGGCTGTTTTTAATTGGGCGGGTGGGGAAGCCATGAGGGCATGTACCACAGTGATAATTGTGCTTGCCCCTTTTCATACATGGGGTAGACTATGGCGTCTGGTGGAAGAGGGCTTTCCCGGTTTACTTCCTACATCGTTAGATTGTTCCGATTTGTTGCAATGGGTACATGAACGTTTTAACATTAAAACAAAAGACCAAGGTTCTTTCATTTGCAGAGAAATCAGGAACCAGTTTCTTGTCCCAAACCAGAAGTCTGGGATTTTGTACTAAGAAATCACAGAATGTAATTTTAAATGAACTATATTTACCTTCTGGTGCTATAGCAATCTAATACAGTACTTCAACCCACCCAGTATCTTTCTACCTTTAGAAGTCTTACAGATTTGGAAGTGTTTCTTTACCTTGATCCCAAATTCAGCCTACATTAGTGGAGGGGAAGAAAAGTCTGAGTACCTCGAATGTCATTGTTATACGGTTTTGATTGTGTGTTAAACAACAGAACCCTATTTTACCTCTGGATGAGGCTCAAATAAAGACCTTTCCACTAAGTACAAGGTCTGACACTTTTCCATCCAAGCAACAACAGTGGGGTCATTGCATAATCTGGTGTCAATTTGAGAGGCTTACAAGTGAAGGGGTGGAGTCTTGCCTGTCAATCAAGATATAACCAATGAGGCCTCTGTGTGGGCATGGCTTTTTCCAGAGAATTCCGGGAAATCTGGTTTTTCCTCTTTGGATGTGGGAGAGACTCTTGGCTCACTTCCTGTAAGACATCCCTGAGAAGAAGCCACATGGTCCTACCCTGATGCAGCCCTGGAAGCTGGAGAAGCCACATGGAGACCCCTGCCAGCGCTGAGATGCTTCTACAGCCACGGATTTTGAACCCATGATCTTCCTATGATCTTCCATGAACCTATGATCTTCCTGCACTCAGTGTCATTGCATGTGTTTCGTGAGTCCGAAGAGGACTTTAAAGACTGGTATCAGGTATATGGGCTAATATTTCAGACTTATGGACTTGCTCTGGTCTGGGCTGGGATGTTTTCTCAATATTCAACTGCTCTTGTATATAAACCTCTTTCTTATACACATATGCATGTTTATGAATTTGTTTCTTTAGTCTACCTGAACTAACACAGACAGGTAACAACATAACGGAATAGGAACAAGAGCTGACACAAGTGAACACACTGGGGTTTAAAAAGAAAGGGTTTTAAAGATTGCAAACGGTGACACAGAAAGGCTGCTTACCTTACAAACAGAAACAACATTAATATTTATCAGCTTCTTGATGACCTGCAGAAAAAAGAGGGAAAAATATGTTAACTGAACAGGGACTTTTCTGCCTACTCTTTTGTCTGCTGGACAAAAGAGCCCTGGGAACAGGTTTGGTGAACATCTTAACCTTGAAGCCAGGCCCTTGGGAATATCCTGCTACAGGTCCATGGTGCTGTTGTTAGGCGCCATCAAGCAGGTGCTGACCCTTCGTGACCCTCTGTACAGCAGAATGAAACATTGCCCAGTCCTGTGCCATCCTCACAATTGTTCCTATGTCTGAGCCCATGGTAACAGCCAGTGCCAACCCATCTTGTTGAGGGGCCCAGTTGCATCCAAAACATGCTGAGCTGGAGCTGAAATAAATCTGAAAGAAACTATGCAAGAGACTTAAGGATGGATCGAGCAACTAAGGTCAAAGTGACTTGACCATCCGTGGAGCTGCAACCCTGTCTCCCTTTGAGTATGCCTTTAAAAACTAGAAGCGTCTCCTTAGCTCTTGAGTCCTTAACGTGTGGGAAGGACTGCTTCAATCCTTGTGAGCTAATGCAATCCTTCAATAAAACTGTGGCTTAACTCTTTGCTGCTGTCTACGGAGCTCAGCTTATCTTGGTCCCTTACAAACCACATGGCTGTGGAGCTTGCTAGTTTCTGGCAGGGAACTTGACAGTAACTGTATATACATTTGGTAATAGAAGTGCCCACATTAGACATATACTTAGCCTAGTGACGCACCGATGGTTTCTGCAGACATTACCAGGGCCTTGGAAAGTAGGGTGCAGATTTATTCTATAGACTATTTATTTACAGGCTCCTAAAAAACCAAACTCCCTCCTGTGGAGTCGATCCTGACTCGGAGTGACCTTGTCAGACAGAGTAGAACTTCCCCTGTGGGTTTCTGAGGCTACAAATCTTTCAGGGAGTAGACAGCCCCCTCTTTCTCCCAGCAGTACAGGCGGCCTCCGCTTTTTGAAAGTTCACTCTCTGCCACTTTGCTTTGACAAAAGGCCCACGTCAGTGTTTGGGGCAATTGAAGTCCAAAGGGGATTTTTGCTTTCACAAAACAGCAAACATTTGTCATCTGTTTTACAACACATGTTGCTCAAGAGGCCGCGCTCACACTGAGCAGCAAGATCGGCGTCACCCGGTCCTTCCCTACAACCATACTCAGCCTCTTGGCCACCATAGCTTTGAACTGCGTCAACACTGTTTATTGGTGAAATTTTAGCTTTTATGCGTTATTTAGTATGATTTAATAGGCCATTTTTTGAGCCTGAGAATGTGTCAAAATGTTTCCTAAATTAATGAATAGTAATTGATTCTTCATTTTATGCCGTTTGGCTTATGAAAGGTTTCACACAAATGTTCGGCTTTCATATGGGGGTGAAACTTGTAGTATAGTATTTTTCTACCAACATTGGCGATGTATGCAAATTTGCACAATCCAAGGTAGACATGTGAGTGAAATCTGGAAGCAGATTTGTCTAAAATAAAGACGAACTCCACAATTTCCCTATTTCCACTCTTCAAATATGGCAAAGAGATAGCACTGAATGTTAAGACTTTTCACCATTCTTTCAAAATGTACAGTCCTTCAAAAATAGGCTTTTCTAGTTTTTATTGAAGGATGATAGTTTAGTAGAGTTAGCTCACCTGCTAGAGTAACATATTTATGATTTTTAAATTGACTCTTAGGATCCGAATACTGACAACAGAGCTGTTTGGGGGATCCCAGTCAATATGACTAGAGTGATGATTGAACCTGGCACTGTGCAAATGGGGATGTAATACTTTCTCATTTCACCCCTTCAGGATAACTTTGGCAGTCAACAGAAGAGCCCGGGGGCGGAAGGTCTGGTGCTCACGGGCTCAGAGGCTACATACACCATGAGCCTCACAAGGCTGCATGCAGAGTTTTCACCAGCAAAATATACAAAGAAACACTCACGTTGTCCAAGTCAGGGATATCCAAAAAGTATTCTGGATACTCGTACGACATTCCTACGTTGTTCACTGAAACGAGATAAGGTCCGGAGCACGTTAGAAAGATGCACGACCTAACCGATGAAAGCCTTCAAGGCTAACAGGAAACACGCAATCACGTAAAACGCTGTTGGTGGCTGGCTGGTGTCACCTTTCCCACAGCTTACCACACACCCGGAGCCCAGTTCAAATGTCACCTCCTTCATTAAAGACTTTCTGTCCACCTGCCCCGACCACCGCGTCCCCTTCCCAACCCCTGACAAAAGGACTGGATCTTCAATTTCCACAGCCCCTTGGCATATATGTGTATTCGGCTTTATGAGTACAGTTATTGGCAGATATTCCACAATCCCCTCTCTAAGCCAAAAACCCACTGCCGCGATTCCATCTCAGAGTGATCTCCTAGAGCAGTGGTTCTCAACCTTCGTCATGCCGCAACCTTGTCATACAGTTCCTCGTGTGGTGGTGACCCCCAACCATAAAATTACTTCATTGTTACTTCATAACTGTTGCTACTCTTATGAATCGTAATGTACATATCTGGTATGCAGGATGGATTGTTATAAGTTGAACATAATTAAAGCATAGTGATTAATCACAAAACAATGTCATTATATATTATGAAAAGTTTATTTCTAATGACAGACAATAAACGAAATTTTGTCTTGAAGCATGGTGAAGCATGGTGTAGCATGGGGAACAGTCTTCATGCTGGGTACTTGTAGGCGGGCATATCTGCACGTGGGCAAACCCGCCTGGAGACGGATAGAGGGGCAGTGTCTCGGTTCCTAAGACCATCAGAAATATGTGTTTTTCCGATGGTCTAAGGCGACCTGGTGAAAGGGTCCATTTGACCCCCAAAGGGGTTGCGACCCACAGGTTGAGAACCGCTGTTCTACAGGGTTCCCAAGGCTGTCCACCTTTACGGGAATAGACTGCCTCATCTTTCTCCCGCAGAGCAGCTGGAAATTCTCAGAGCACGATAGGAAGAGCCCTAGAACTAAGAGACTACAACTTGAGTTCTAATTGTAATGTTAAGCAGGTGGGAGAAGTCACCACAGATCTACATCTCTGCCGCTGCATCTCTACCTGGAGCTCACTCATTCCCTAGACAACACCGGTCATACCCAGTGGGCGAGTACTCGGGCAGCCCCGGGGGTGCAGTGGTTAAGCTCTGGGTGCTCACTGATGTGTTCAAACCCACCAGCCACTCGAAGAGAAAAGGAAGAGGCTGTCTGCTTCTTCAGGGAAACCCTGTGGGGCGGGTCTCTGTCCTATTGGGCCTCCGTGATTTTGTTGATTTGTTTGTTTGTGAGCAAGAACTAGTGCTGGGAACTAGAAACACCGAAAGAAAGAGACTGTTTCTGGCATCATGGAACATATAACCTAGTAGAAAGGGGGAGACAGTGAACGGAGAGAATTACACAATTACTTCATTAGAGCATTCGGAATGCCACTGAAGCCGATTCCTGGAGAGCCTGACCTCAGCCAGTGAAGGGCAGAGTGCTCTTTGTGGAGGTCAGGAGGGCAGGCCCGGCAACAGGTCCCTGAAACCTGCAACCCCTCCCAAGCCCAGAAGGCGGGGAAAGAGGGTGTGCCTTAATTTGCCTAGGCTCCGCCCACCACCACCACCCAAGGATGGGATGCCAGAAAATTAAACAGATATGAATAGATCCGAGTGACAATAGGTACATGATTTGAGTGCTCAGATTTCCTTGGTCCAGAAAGACAAAGACAGACTCTGAATAAGGAACATTTTCAGGAGACAAAAAAACCAATAAAAGTAGCTTAGAATTTATTTGAGTAAGTAAATAATCATCTACTGGGTAATCTTAGTGTATTCAGAACAACAAATGATGATCTGGGGCTTCTAGCATCCATGTAAGTCGTCCATCTACATATACACTAATACATTATAGTGGACTTATTCATGATGTTCTCCATTTCATTTGGAGGGGTTATGAGTTAGCCTGAGAACTGCAAGGTCAGTAGTTCGACTCCATCAGCTGCCCCAAAGGCAGCGGAGGCTTTCTGAGTCCATGAAGATGTAGACACCTCGGAAACCACACAGGGCAGGGCCCCTTCGCCCTCTGGGGCTGCTCTGAGTCAGAATGGACCTGGTAGCAGTGGGTTCTTGGAGAATTTACAGACTATAGTCATGAGGCTAACACTTACCCATGGCCTTTTTAAATGCCAGAGACGACTGCAAATACTCACACCCCTTTGATCATCATAAAAACCCTATTAGATATTTCCTATGACTATCTGAGGATTTCTATCAGGGCCTGGGCTCGTCACCACTGAGCTAAAGCCTTCAGATACCATCATCCAGTATGCAATTCAGAAAATACCAGTAACAGTGGGCTTATAAACAGAAACCCAATAGCAGTATCTAATGAAACTGCATTCTTTGTGGTAGAAAGAAGATAATGACATTTCAATCATTTGGCAAAAGCTTGTAAGGAATGGCACCAGAAACACTCAATAGTAGTAACAGTAACTCTTTCAATAGGTTAACAAAATGAATAGGCTCAAAGGACCTCAACAGAGGCTCCATATTTAGGCGTAAGTAAGCCAGTCACTTGAGGCTGTGATGCCCAAGATTTTACTTGCAAAATTCGGTCAGGATGACTTGAACGAGATCACTGAAACCTGTCTGGAATTCTGCAAGCAAAGGATAATAGCAAAGCAAACGGTGTTTAATTAAGATTCGTGCCCATCTGAACAGGGACAGTATCTAAACCCAATTAATAAGAGCAGGTCCGAGTCCATTCTTATCCTCTTCAAGAGGTTCTCCACCCACCAGGGGTCCTAGGAAGAGATTCTAGAAAAGATCTATTAAGAGTTGCGCCAACCTACTTGAAGGTCAAGCGTTATGTTCCCTTGACTTTGCTCCAACCATCTACAGAATTTTAAATGAATAAGTTATTTATGGCCTGGCCGGGAGAAATAGCAGCACCTTAAATATCTGCTAAGATGCAAAATATTCTTTACAAAGGATAGAATGAAACACTCCTTACAAAGCCAGTGGAAGATAGAAAATTCAAGAGCCACGGTTTTGACAAATTGTGAAACTCCAGAGGTTTGAAAAGGGAAAGAAAATTCCACCGCACAGGACAAACGCCAATCTCCCAAATCCAGAACACTTCCTAGCTTCAGCTGTCTGTCTAACCCATGCCAATGGGAATGCCCTATTTCACAATGCTGGGGAAAAGAGGGCAGTGTCATTCTAAGTCTTTACAGATCCAGATGGGGGGCTAAAAGAAAGACTGGGGACTTTGTGAGCAGCCTGGCAGACACTGGGATCCTCAAATATTCTCCAAGACAAGGAGTGTTGTTCTGAGGAGGGTGGTGTTACTGATAAGAAATTTTCAGGTCTGCCTCCATCAAAGCTACTTACTGCCAACGATTCTTGGAGTCCTAGAAAGAACACAGGGATGTAGGAGTCTTAATCTGAGCGATTAAGTACCTGACCTTGGCATGTACTTACCCTCATAAAACTGAACTTTCATGCTCTGAAAGATCCATTCTAGAATCGATTTATTCACACAAACACCTATTTAACATACCTCTACTAGAAAACACGTTCAACACTGAAGACTTCAGCTCAAAACAAAACAAAAAGCAAAGAGGATCATATACAAGGAGTATGCATTTTATAGCCAAAATTGCACAGCAGGGGAAAAAGTTAATCCTAGAATAGAGCTTTCAGAGCATCAAGTTCAACTTTAAGAGTATAAGTACATGCCAAGGTCATCCTGGCAATTTGACTGCACTCAGTTTAGGACCCCCTAAGTCCCTTGTATTCTTTCTTGGACTCTAAGAATCTCTTCTGCCCAATGCGGTCCATATTTCTGCTTGTGGAATGCCTGCTACTGTAAGTCATCTCTTGAGAGTGCTATAAGTTATGAGTACAGACAAAAACAACTGTTGCTCTCAAATAGCTAGTTCCATAAACGGCAGTAGGTATGGTGCAAATCTTTTGGAAAAGGTAAGTCCCTTGCATTTTTATGCTGAGACATTAGGTGGCAGCAGTAACCATAAAAGGAGCCCCAGTGGGCTCTCTGGGAAGCACTGAACTTGTGATCCACAAAGTGGGCCTTTCAAACCCAGAGCAGCAGCGCAGGAGAGGTGGAGGCTCTATGCTCCAGTTCAGACTGACAGCCTGAGAGCCCTAGATAGGGTCACTAAGAGTTGGATTCAACTTGGTGGCAGTGGGTTGGAACCAAATGACAGGCAGAAAGCTTTCTGGCAAGGGCAAGAGGAGGAAAACAGGCTTTAGGGAAGAGTGAAGGACAACACTACTTTCTAAACAATCTCAGGGAGAGTAGGCGCCTGTGATGCAAACTCTCTCTGTATTACAGTGCTCACCAAGCCCAACAATGGCACCCATTGTGATAGCATCATGCAGAGTTGCAATAAGCCCTGAAAGTGGTCACTGTTAAAAACCTGTTTGTTGGTGTGCTTTCTTGAGTTTTTCAAACGAGACACCAGAGACAGTTAAATTTTTTTTTTATTCCATGACCTGTCACTCGTGTAACCAGCATGTCCTCTTCTTTCCAGAAATCAAGGCGGTCCAGGTGCCCTCAGAGTTCCCACCATGATCCCAATCGATGTCACAGGACTTGGAACGGGAAGAAGCCCTTTCCCAGCAGTTTCTCGTGGGAACTCCATGATGGAGAAAAGCTCAATAAGAGACGGGCAGGCGAGGGCGGGGATGCAGACGGACAGAGAGCAGGGACCCAATGCCAACTCACAGCTGTAAGTCTGAAGTGCTGCCTGTGTGGTTCACAGCCCAGTGCTTAACCCGCAGCACCACTGGGGATCCAGAACAAGGACCTGGTGAGTACAAAGGAATGGTCATGGGCATCAGAGAGGTCGCTCTCACAGGGTTGGCCCTGCAGGGAAGGGCAAGCTGTAAGTTGTGCTTAGCAGCTCCAGCTCCGCAGGTCCCACGTCTGAACTTTCGACATCAGTGGTCTATTTGAAAGGCCCAGAAGAGCCACTGAGCCATTCCGAATATTATAAGC